GAGAAGGTGACTCGGGCTCCAGTTCTCAAGCGTGAGTTTCCCGAGAAACCCTGCTGGTAACCGCACAGTCCCACCCTGCGGGTGTTTCCCCGTGGAAGTAGTCTGCGTAAATAATTCATCCTGGAAGGAAGGGATACTACTCGGCCGCTTACCCTCCACAGTGTCGGGGGTGGTTTAAGGAAGGGCTGTCCACTGACCCGAAGCTCTCATTGGTGTGAGGCTAGCCGTGTTCACTCCAGGGTGCCAGTGCTTTCAAGACGTTCAAGTTAAGGACGTGTGGTTGTTCTGCCTTTCTGTCCCTTGAGCCCTCCTGGAGTCTGCTGGTGGGGCAGGAATAATGTTACTGTTCTGACCTAAAATAGCAGCTGGTATGGGTTCACAAAACTCTTCTTGATTTTGGCTGTATAAAGCCCCTAACTCAGCTGGTGACTTACTGCTAGATGGTGTGAAACATTGTAGCCTGGTCACGCGTAGTTCTAGGGGTTGCGATGCTTAAGCTCAAAAATTCAAACTTCAGTTTTTAACTCTGCTTGAAGTGCCTTCTTGCAGATGCAGTCCTTCCTAAGTCTGTGACAGTGCTTGAGCACTCTTGTTAACTTGCTGCACTTGCAACTGCTCCTTGCCAGAACTGAACGTGTAGCAGACTGCACTTCCCAGCCCCATTAGAACCGAGCAGCACCCGCGTTCTCCTTGGTGGGAGGCACTCAGTATGATGCTGCTCCCCTGGTTTCCTGACTTTTACTACTCTTAATTCTTTCTGTGAGGAGTCTGTCACAGCAAGACAGCTACAAGTGGCGCCGACTTCATAGGCATCAAATGTAGCTAGTTGGTGGGTTTTGCATGAACTTCTGTTATTGGTGTCTGTTACACAAGGAAGTGATTTTCTTTTTGAAAACTAGTGACACACTGTTTTCCTCCTGAGCTGCCCTCCCACAGCGTTACTGTGTTCTCTGCTTCAGGGTACTGCTATCAAGCGCTTCTCTGGCTTTGAAAACACCATCACTTCATCTAGAAAAGATGAAGTGCCCAACTGCATCATCAGTGCCGCACCAAAGCAAGGTTTTGCTATCTACATAGATAACTCAGAAGATAAAGAAAACTACAGCTGCCAAGTGTCTGAAGAGCTGGAGTTAAGCCACTGTGAGCTGGATACCAGTGCAATGACATCCACTATTCACCGGCTGTTGGATCTGAGTTCAGGTAACTCCTGTTACTGCTCAGATGGTGTCCATAGCACAGCCACATGTAGGGTGGTTATGAGTTGTGAATTATAAGCTAGTGAGTAGCTTATGTGCAAGCTAACTTGGATTGTGTCTACAAGAGAGGCAATACTTCTGAGCTAAAATTAGCAAGAGAAAGTCAAGAGATTAATTATACAAATGTCTTGCTGCTTCCTACCTGTTAGGCTCTCCTATGGTAGTGGACACATCCTTCCAATCCCAGCCAGAGGATCACATGGAAGATGTTGTAACTCTGGCTGTGGGAGAGTATGCAGAAGACATTCATCAGTACCTCCGAGAGGCAGAAGTAAGTTGTTGTGAGAAGCTTATAGGTATCTGTGGTAGGCTGCAATATTGCAAAGATCCAGGGCTGCCACTGAACTACAAAGAAGAGAAAGTAAATAGTAAAAGTAATTTCTAAAGGCAACATATAGTCGGTGATAAGTTCTTTCTGGATTAATGCATCCCTGTTAATTCCTATGATGGGAGCATCTCTTGACTTGTTTGGTATGAAGAATTCTTGCAGATGGGCATAGAATGCTGAAATAACGCTAAAGCAGTTTGATGTGATCTCACTGACAGCTCTCTGGCTATAGCAGTAGGTTTTCCTACCTTGTGTCAGAGCAGTGAAGTGCAGTCTCCTGATGGGAAGAAGAGGGAAAATCTGCTTGGTTCATTTTCAGGTCCTTCTGAATGGCTTAATTGATGGCAAAGGCTGTCCATAGTCCAGGAAGTGTTTTAATATTCTCCTGCTAACACCAAAGCTTCAATCTATCTCTTCAGTGTAGAAATACTAGAGATGTACAAATTTTAGAGATGCCACTAGCTGCGAATAATTACCACTAGCCCAATAATTGTACTTAGTACTTCCAGTTATTGAGTGGGACAACCCCTGCTCTTTTAGTGTAAGTATAAAGAATATTCATGAGTTCAGCCATCCATGGTTCTCTTCAGAGTGATCATCCTGATTCTTCAACTCTTTCCAAACAGGTAAGATTTAGGCCCAAGCCCTACTACATGAAGAAGCAGCCAGATATCACAACAGGAATGCGTGCTATCCTGGTAGACTGGCTGGTGGAAGTAGGGGAAGAGTATAAACTCCGGACAGAGACTTTGTACTTGGCAGTCAACTTCCTGGACAGATTTCTTTCCTGCATGTCTGTTCTCAGAGGGAAGTTACAGCTTGTAGGAACAGCGGCAATTCTTCTGGCTGCGTAAGTGTTCCATCTTTCTAAATCTTGGCGATCCAAAGCCTATTTTTGGGCGTAGTCTAGTAATGTAATTTGAAGGAAGGAAGGTTGCATTAGTAGATAGCTTTTCATGATGTCTCAAGATTAGCAACATGGGCTCCTTTGGTACTATTAAAATGAAATATTTAATGTTGAATGTGAAAAGCTGTAGTGGGGCAAGCTTGTAATCATAAACACAGTAGCAGAAGCAGTACAGTGTGAAACTGCTAGCCTGTAAGGCTGTAGTGGACTCAGTTGCAATCTTCAGTTGCCCTTTAACTGCTCTAACTAGACAGAGTTAGCAACATAGCTTAGGGGTGCATGGGTGTTTGTCTGGAGTGTGCTGTATTACTGAGAGCTGCCTACTGAAAGCTTGCTGTTAAGAGCTAACAACGTGAGTGTATGTCTATCTAGACTTGGAGTTCCTCTAGGTATATTTGTCCAAGTTTGAAACTAAATTGTTAACTAGCCTGGAGGAACAAGTAAAATTAGAGCTTTCCACAAGTTTTAGTAATGTCATGTTGCCATATAACTTCAAAGCTGAAAAATGTGGCTTCTATATCCCTTTTTCAGGAAGTATGAAGAGATCTACCCACCAGATGTGGATGAATTTGTCTATATAACAGATGATACCTACACAAAGAAGCAGCTGCTAAGAATGGAACACTTGCTTCTCAAAGTGCTGAGTTTTGACCTAACAGCCCCAACCATCAACCAGTTCCTCCTTCAGTATATTCAGAGGCGTGGAATCTGTATGAGGACAGAGAACTTTGCAAGGGTATGGACTATCTGCCTTCTGGGACTGAGGGGGAAGAAAATGATCCTTAAAGGAGAACTACTTGCATTTCATGAAGCTGTCTTGGCAACAAGCCTAAAACTGCATGTTTCATAGCAGTGGCTTGTGTGCTGAGACTTTTGGATAGATGCCTCATGGAAATCCCAGGTTTGGTCTGTCTTGTCTGGTCAGGGGATAATTCACTGACAGGGCAATTAGATGGTAAAAATCTGGTGGTTTTTTTTCGAACAGTGCCTGTGTAGCAGGCTTGTCCTGGATTTGGTGCAACTGTGTATTGCTCCACAATGACACAGAATATACCAGCATAGCTGCATAGGAGTTGCCTGGAGTACGCAACCATGCTTAGAAACAACAAAATTACAGTAAAACATCTGACCAACTGCTTCTCTGCAAAGGGTATAGGATTGTACAATAACTCTACTCCAACAGAACCTATATTGTGCTTCTTAGATCTGTCAATTTATCCCTGATATCCAGGTGTTTATCTATATAAACAAGAGCCTTAGCAGATAAGAAAAGTGTGTCTGTCAGTTTTATGAAACTTGACTTTTCTGAGTCTTTATCTGTAAAATCAAGTCAGATCTGATGATGGAACCAGAACTTCAGATTAGATTCGATTAAATGGGTTAGGCTTTGGCAAAATGTGGTCTTTCTGTCCCCCCAGAAACATGATAAAGGATCTTCTGTAAGATCAACAGGACTGGAATGCTAATTCTTCTCACTAAATACATAGTTTGTGCTTTTATGCATCATACTGAGACCATTGACAAACTTTAATACTTGCAGTATTGGACTGATTGTACCAACTAGGTTGATTCTTTTTGAAAAGCTTGGATTTTCTTGTTCAGTATCTTGCAGAGCTGAGTCTCCTTCAAGTTGATCCTCTTCTGAAGTACCTTCCTTCACAAATTGCTGCAGCAGCCTACTGTTTAGCAAACTATACAGTGAACAGATCTTTCTGGGTAAGAACAACAACTGTGCATTAATAAATAGCTCAAGCATTTTGTTATTGTTAGAACTGAGCTGAGAAGGAGGAGGAGTAGCTACAAAGTATATTGTTCTGAAGGCTGAAATCCTAGGATGAGTAGCTGTTCTTGAGTTAATGAGACTACCTGATAAAAATGACTGTTAAGTAAACCTGAAATATCATGCCTCTTCTCTGAAACAGAGGAGATTTTACTGTGTTGCTGACTTACATCAAGGCTGTACCAAAGGCCCCACAAATGTCCTAAACTACACCCCCAGATACAATTCAGTGTCTTTCTGGGAGAAAGGGGAGAATTGATTCTGGCTACTTAAGTGGCTATACTGCTGTGTAATTGTGGTTGCTTTACCACAAGCCTTGGTAGACCTTCCAGCTCTATGTTGGAGAAATAGCTTTAGTGCAGAGTAAGATCCAGAAGAGATGTAATGGATGCACATGCTTAGAGCAGAAGGAGCTTGTCAGACTTAATGGCACCAAGGAAGACCTAGAGTGAAACTGATGGCACAATACAATTGAATCTTTTTCATGCTTAAAGAATCTAGAGTGAGCTCTGATGTAGTGAAAAGAGTTTCTGCTTCCGTGGGAAACCCATCTTCTGGATGGCTGCTGGCTACAGTAGAGTAACACTGTTTTTTCTCATCTGACCAGCCAGAAACACTTGCTGCATTTACTGGATATTCCTTAAGTGAGATAGCGCCTTGCCTGACTGACCTGCACAAAGCATGCCTTGATGCATCCCATTGCCAGCTGCAAGCTATTAAGCAGAAGTATAAGCACCCAAAGTAAGTAACCAGCATGCCAGTGTCTTGGATAGCTGTAAGCACAGGATGACTGTTTTTCCAGCTTGGGCTGTGGCTGCTGTAGCTCTCTCACAGTTGTCAGCTTCTAGTTCTGAAACAGAAGCCTCCATCAGCCCCTTGAGGAGAAAACTTTTCTGACCAGAAAAGTGAGTAATCCATAAGTATGCAGATGCATTGGATAACAACTTTGTCTGCAATGTTGCAAGATGATGCTTCTCTTCTCCAATGTATTGCACAATCTGGTGATAGTTTAGTTGAAAAATCTGAAGCTAATATCTGTTATTTCTATTCTACTTCATTTCTATTCCAGGTACCTGCAGGTGTCTCTTCTGGAGCTCCCAGCAGTTCTTCCTCTGCGCTAGACACTGTGGATCCTGGACTTGAAGATTACTGTGTCCCAATCAACAAAGCTGGTCTAACATTTCATAGAGCACTGCGGGTCATGTGTCTGTAACCACAGTGATCAGAATGTTTTTAAGATAATATTTTTTAATGAGATGCCTTTTTAAAAATAGGTATTAGACTATAGCTCTTAACATAACTGAAAGCACTTTTAATAAATGTCTTATTACACTTTACTTCTGTGAATCTTCTGACTTCAGTTAATGCCTGCAGTAACAGCAAGTGGAATGAATTTTTGAATATTTGTTTTGTTTTTTTGTTGTTGTTTTGGGGTTTTTTGGGGGGGTGGGATTTGTTTTTTACTGAATAGCTGTGAGCACTCATAATCTGGATGGAGTGGATAAAGCAGAGCTTGAACCACCACAACCTGACATCCCTGGAGGTAATTGGCTGTAGTCCTGTTTGTTCTTTCTTCAATGAGATAAGATCCTGTGGGTATGAACAGAGGTTTTTTTCTCTGACTTGTTTACCATATTAGTCCAAGAACATCCACATGCAATTGGTCTTTGAACTCTGAACATGTTTGTAGAAGATCCTCAGTGTTGAGGTAAAAGTCAGACTTCCCTTTATGGAAACAAGATAGGGAATTGCCCTGCAGGGAGCTGGGAGATTGTGGCTGGCAGAGCATTGGGAGTTTTTCATACACTGGTGAACAGACTGCATTAGAGAGCAATGCCAAAAGCTGTGAGGTACTGGAACAGCAGGGTTGATCTGGATGGCTCCTGAGTCATTCTTGTAGTGTGGGATGTTGTTATAACAAACCTGTCTGAGATGACCTCTCGTGTCACTAGAGCACTGGTGGTCCTGTGTGAAGGGAGGGTGATGGGACAGAGCTATTAGCTGTCTGTCGTAGCCTGAGCTGCTACATGGTCTTGTGTCCCACTGTCAGGTATTTGTTAGGTAGTGCTTCAAAAAATCCCCAAACATCCAAACAGGGCACCACCTTGTACTCTCAAACACAACCCCTGTCCAAAGTAGTTTAAAAAGTTGGTCATATTGGTCAACAGGTAGAGAACTATGATCCACTCATAGAAATGGTAAGGTAAGTCTGAGGTGTGCTCATACTGCAAGAGTTTAAAACTTCCAGGGCTTACTGCTTCCTAAGAGAGTGATCTGTACATTGCATTATGAGCTTCCAAGCAAGAATAGGTTTAACACTTGACACCAGTATGCAATTCAGGAGACATATTAAGTAGCAGCTAACAAGCTGCTATTTTAATTTAAAACCTGATTATGCCAATATGTGTGATGAGGCTCTTAGCTTTGGCATTCCCTCAATTTATGTAAGACTTCTTTTCCCTGAATTCCTCCCTGTGCAGCCTGATGGATCTTTCTAGTAATGTAAATTCTTGTATTTCTCTGAAGTGGAGGTAGTGGTTGTGACTGCTTCACTTGTCTCAAAGAAAACAGCCTTTAAGGGAGGAGAGTAAGTATTCCATTTCAGTCTAGCACAGTCTTGTGCTGCAGTTTCAGTCTAGTTCTTGGTCTCTTGCTTCAAACACTTTCTAATCAGTAGAGTGAATTTGTCTTGATATGTCTGTGATAATGGACAGTGAATTGACCACACATCCCATGCTCATGTCTGTGGCATTCATTTTGTGATGGGGGCCTCAATCCATATTTTGTTCATGCACTGAATTTCATGGCTTTCGTGGACATATGATCTAAAGGTGGGATATGAACTTCACTCCTGCCTGCAGTCAGCTTCTTTAAAGAGTGTCTCAGTGCAAGGCTGTGCCAGTGGCACCTAACCACAACAGGCAACTCTTGGCTGCTTGTTTCACAAGGAAGTGGTGAGTGCCCTGAGCAAGTGTTGCTAAGTCTGCCCAGCTTATGAATATCAGCTTGTTTGGTGTTTCAGGCTGAACATAAGATATTCTGAAACCCCATTTTAATAAGATTCTACCTGTAAGTAATTGTGCTCACTGAACTGCAGCTAACTGTAGTGTTGGGTATTTTCAAAGCAGAAATGAATGTCTTAATTGCAGGAATGTTGTCCTTGTGTTACAGGAGACTAAAGATTACTGTGGTCATGCTGCAGCAGTAATGGGGAAGAGATGAGTTTTTGTTCTTTTAAACAGTCTAAAACCACAGTCATGCCTCATGTTCCTGGGCCAATAGATTTGGTGCATCTAACAAAGTGAGAGTCTGAATTTACTAAGTGTTTTAATATCTGGAGTCTTTCTAGAAGCTACACTTTTGTTCTGTTTTACTTTCTTAAATTTAACTTATAAGTGCAAGGCTATTGCAGCAGTTTCACTTCACATTCACAGAGCTTCAATTCTTTGGTATATAAATAAAATATACCTGGAGCTTTTTGGCGTTTTTTATGATATGCGAAGACTGTACTTCATCTGCTTTCTTGTTTTGTAATTATTTTTCGACTCAGCTTTTGACTTAAATATTGTTTCAGTCCAAGGCTAAAAAGGGTAAAAAAAAAGTAGTTAAGATGAAGAATCACATAATGCTGCAGTCTGAATGCTAATAATGAGTTTGGGCAAGATGGATTAAATTTTAATTTGTGAGATACAAGAAACTCATCTTGAAGTGGTCTCATCTGAGATCTGTAATAATGTCATTTTGAAAGTTCCTGCTCTAATCTCACTGCCTTTTGTTGAATTTGTCTTATTCAGAGCAAGGAAAAAAGACCAACTGCTGTTATAGGAGCGAGCCTTGACTCTTCCAAGGTGAAAACTGAGTTCTATCTCCTTTCTCTTTCAATGTGAATCATCACACTTAACTCTGGCCTACCCCTTGTGGGCTGTTCTCTGCAGATGATACCTGAGATCAAGCGATAAAAGATGCTACAGTTGGGCATAAAGTGGTAATCAAGGTGAAATAATGCTGTTTTAATAGATGAAGTGTTTGAATACAAATGCAGAAACACATAGGAGTACTAAAGGTTGTACTGAAAATCAGGTATACAGGAAGATGGATTTATAAAGAGGGAGATGAAAGCAACCCAAAAGGAAATTTTAAGTTTTTAATGATGTAGTCACTGCCTGTGCAGTGTGGAGAAGCTAAGACGTATAAAGCTCACAACCTTGTGTGATCCTTGAAACAGAACTAGAACTAGATATAGATATAGATAGAGATGTAGATATCTATAGATATAGATATGGCTGAAGACAGCCATATCATGGAAAAAAAATAAAAGGTAATGGATATTAAAGCTTAAACTGAGATGGTCTCAATTCTTGACCATCATCCTTAGTGGCTTGTAAACCATGGCCATAAATAAAACTTTTGTTGTTGTTGTTTGGTTGGTTGATTGGGGTTTTCTTTGTTGTTGTTTTTTGGGTTTTTTTTGTTTGGGGTTACTTTTGTTCAGGAAATACTTCGACTGTGGCAGTTTTGGAAATGCCAAGGATGATCATGTTCAGTTATCTCTGCTGTGAAGGTCAGTCTGTTGAATGTCAGCATGTGTATTTCAAAGGCTGAATATTGACTTCTATGCAGGCTACAGTGTCTTCCCCCAGTTAAAATTTACTGGGACAAAAGCTACTGGTGAAACAGCAGGCTGAGCACATCCAAGGAGCTTTGAGGGATCACTCAGTACTCCTAGTGGAGTAGGTTGGAACTGAGGTGTTGAGGATTTTATCTTTGATCCATGATGTTCAGTTCAAGAGGTCTTTAACACAAACATGAACATCCCTAATCTTATTCTAGCAATTTCCATAATATCATGCTGCAACTTTCAAGAGACTTGGCTGCCTGATAGTGGTTTTCTGTGTTGTAGTTAACATTTTTAAACAATAATTTCTAACAATATTTTAGCCATCTCTGGTGTTTTGAGAAAACTGTCCTTATAACTGGAGATGTATTGTGGATCCACCATTCCCTTAAGATTAATAGGGATAAGTGCTACTTGATACTTTAGGGGAAGGTACTGGCTTAAAAGCTATGGTGTGCCTTTGTTTTCCTCTTCTCTGGGGTGAGTTAAGGATGTCTGAAAGGTACGTAGGTGTTTAGAGAGAATGCTTTGATTGTGTTCAGAACAGTTAAGCTGCAGAAGGTTGTCTGCCTTGCTGGGAAATCTGGCTGTGTGATTAGTCTGTGTGCATACCTACTTGTTGTCAGTTCTACAAGTGACTCAAATTGTCTCTGATCACTGAGGTGGGTTCTTATTTTAGCCAGTGGCCTTGAAGCAGCTTGTGGGGCTGCTCTTGAGCATGAGAAACAAGCCAGCAACATCAGTTATTGCTTCCTGGGTTTAAGCTTTTTATCTTGCAATTTTCCTCAGCACCTGCTTCCCCAGAGCAAGATCATCTTCCTCTACTGAAGAGCTGTACAAACTGTGCTAGGCAGATGTGAACTGGAGGCAGTACAGACCCATCCCCTACTACTCAGATCTTCTAGAGCTGTTAAGCTAGCTCTTCTGAAGTTTCTGGGGCTCTTTAGTATTTATAGTGGGTGTATGTATTTTCCCATTGCATAAGACAAGAAATGCACTGAATACTTTGTTTTAGCTGTTATTTGCTTCATACTTCTCTTGTATGGCATCCTCTACTTTCTCGTGGATGCTTGTTTATATTGGATCTACTTAAAATACAAAAAAGACAAAGCTTTGCATGATGAAATGTCCATTATGAACGTCCCTGACAAAAGTTTATGGAGAATGTGCTCTGCAGAGATATAGAGAAACAGTGGATTAGACATAAACCTGTGTGATAAGTAATATAGCCAGTTACAGCTCTTCTTCCTTGCTCTTTGTCACTGTAGATGGCAGCCCTGCAAACATTGAAGAGAAACTTCAGACAAACTTACAGGACAGCCTGCAGACAGATACTGACCACATGATAGAGTTAATCCTAAAGTAGATGCCTACCTGCATCAAATTGTGTCTGGGCCAAGAAAGACCAGGCATTGGTCCGAATCCCTCTGAAGATGCTAAAATTATGGTTCTGTCTTGGAGTTTTGTACAGTGCTTGCCTGTAGGAGGATAGAATATAAGAAAATAAAGATAGTGTAGAAAGTAATCTTACCCCTAAGGAGTTGTGGCTGGGCCAATTATCAAAGATGAGGAACAGGCCTGACTTTACCAGGCCACAGCTGTGACCAGTGAGAAGAAGAGTGCTATAAAAGAGTGGGGTGGCTGGGTGAGTGGGAACTGGAGTTAGCTGGCTGCTGTGAGAAGAAGAAAGAGGCAGTGCTCTGAGGAGATGCCCATGAGAAA